TAACAAACTAATATTATAAATATTACACTAATATGAATTGATAGATAAATTATCAATAATGAAATAAGAGTCTTCTCACCAATAATCTATACTAATCAACAATTATATTTCACATATTACCATCAATATTTTCAACAATTTCCCATATATGTACCACATTACCATCAGCAATTTCAACAATTTCATGAACAATTTCATCAACAATGTATTCACATTACCATCAATAATTATCAACAATTTACCACGTTTTCATTAATAATTAGCAACAATTTGATACAATTTACATTAATTAACTACAATTAAGAGCAATTACACTAATTTAAATTTAGGGTTTACCACAAAATTGAGTGAGTGAGTGAGAGAAAGAGGGGCAGCAGCACAAATGGCGTCAGCAACGTTGGCGGCAGCGGCAGCAACAGTGGCAGTGGTTGAGTGTGAAAGTGTCCATTAGTGAGAGGGAGTGATACTATGAGAGTGAAATTTGAGGGTGAGTGAAGTGAAAATCCTGCGACAAAACATGAAAATACTTACCTAAGAAACGCTGACTGAGGCAGCGTTTCATTTAGAAAAAAAAAATACTATAAACGTTGTCTCAGTCAGCGTTTTATGTGCTATTGAACTTTTTTTTTTGTTTTAATTTAAAAAAATCGGAATTTACAAAAAAAAAAAAATTTTAAAAAGTGAACAACTAAAAACGCTGTTCGAGACAGCGTTCTATACTTAAATTTTTTTTTTAAAAAAAAATCAGGGCATAAAATAGCGTTTTATTCCAAAAGCATAGTTTGATAAATAGTTTTTTCATGCAACCTCTTTGCAAATTATTTTGCCAAATAAGCTTAATTTGGAAAAAATCCCACCCCATAAGCGTGGTACAACACATTGTCAAATTCTACCATACGTAGTAGAAGATTAGTCATTCCCGTTGTTGTCGTCGTGACCATATGTTAGACGATAAGCTACGGCATCCTAGAGGACAAATCTTTGTCAAAGTTCCAGAAGATTATAAAATCAAAGGATCAGAGATGGTAGTTCTAGAAGATTATGATTTTCCGTGGTGGAATCTATGAAGAGACATTCGAGAAAAATAAACACAAGGTGTTAAAGGCCCTGTTTAGTAATTAGCTATTAGCTGATTGATATAATTTATTTTATTAATTGGTTTGACTAGCTGGTTATATTAACTAATTTGGCTAACTGGTAGTGTAAAAGTGTTTGGTAAATAGTTGTTTATTGTTAGCCGTTTCAGTGTATTTAATACCCAAAAAGCTAATTGTTCAATAAGTTAATTTCAAAATACTCTTGTAATAAGTTTTTTCTAATAGAGCTTTTTGAGCTAAATAACTCTTTTAATAAGCTATTTACCAAACACCCAAATTAGTTTTTTAAAATGGTCAAATCTCTAATAGTGTTTAATAAGCTAAAAGCTTTCCAAAAACCTCTTTACCAAACAAGGCCAAAATTAAAGAATAAAATCTAGGGAACTAGAATTTTGTAAAATAGGTCGTTTTAAATTTTATACTGTGACCAAATTGTCAAAACCTTTTCTTCTAATGACCAAGCTAAAGGTATTTTGATTTGGTACTTCCGGCTCAAGATCTCTACAAGAATGTAAATTTTTTAATCAATATTTCTGTATTTCATCATGAATGTGTTTTACTATGTTAAACATTAGTTTGACCTAATATCTCTTACAACATTAAGTGATTGTTTGGTTGATCATATGAAATACAATTTCCTGAATTTCTTCTAAATTTAATCTATCGTAAATGTTCATTTTAGATAAACTTCAACCTTATTTGTACAATGATTAATTTTTGAATTATAATAACTAAAACTAAAGATAAATTATCAATTTGATTATGGAATTGAAACGTTAATTTTCAAATTAATATAATATTACTTATTTCGTTAATTAAAATTGTTATTCGATAAATTTTGATTATGAAATGTAATATATCGTATATATTCATTTTAGGTGAAATTCGTGTTCATTTGTAGAAGGAATAGTATTCAAATTATAAATTACTAAAATTAAAGATATATCAATTTGATTTATGGAATTAAAACATCAATTATCAATTAATATTACTTATTTTGTTAATTAAAACTGTTATTTGGTGAAATTTTTGATAGTAAATTTAAGCTATAGTAAATGTTCATTTTAAATGGATTCATGTTCATTTGTAGAAAAAATAATATTCAAATAATAATAACTAAAATTAAAGACAAATTGTCAATTTGATTAATGGAATTGAAGTATCAATTATTAATAAACATTACTTATTTCTTTAATTAAAACTGTTATTCGGTGAATTTTGGCTAGTAAATTGAATTCATCATAAATGTTCATTTTAGATGGATTTTATGTTCATTTATGATCATTTTCATATTAATATATGTTTAGTTAAATTTGATACATGTTCATTCTATTTACACTATATGTTCATTCTCATATTAAAAGATATTCATTTGAAATTTAATACTCATATTGAAAGATGTTCATTTGCAATCTAATAAATTATTCATTATTCTCATATATAAACATGTTCATTTACTTTAATACTTATTCACTCACATTAAAAGATATTTGTTTAAATTTTAATACTTGTTTGTTATCATATTGAAAAATGTTCAATTAAATCTTAATATTTGTTCATTCTAGTATTGAAAGATGTTCATTTGACTTTTAATACTTGTTCATTTTCATGTTAAAAGATGTTCATTTAGATTTTAATACTTGTTTATTCTCATACTGAAATATGTTCATTTTCTAACAATGTGTTCAAATTTGTATTCGTAAATCTTTATTTATTAATCTTGTTTTGTTTATAGTGTGTTTTGATTGTTACTAACATTTTCTTTTAAAAAAATTGATATCTTATTACACAAGATAATGAATTAAAAAGTTGAAGACGATGATGTATATATTGAAAAAAAGATATTTTCTCCGTTCATTTTTAGTGGACACCTTTCTTTTATCACGCTTGACAATGCACAATTATGACGATTAATATCTCTAATTGTCAAAATTATAAAATTATAAAAATTATATATTAATAAAATATACATTGGGGCGATTCAAACAAGATCACATGGCTATGTTTTATCGTAGCTATAAATCACAAAAACTAGTCAAAGTATAGTTTGTGAATAGTACAAAAGTCAAATGGTGTCAATTAAAAAAAACGGAGGAAATATGTATCAAGTAAACCACACAAACATTATAAAAGTAGAAGGGGTACAGCTGTACAACAAGGAGCAAGGATGATTCTGTACACCTTTTATTTATACTAAATGTAATAAATCAAAAGACGATGTTCATTTTGTAAAACACATACAAAGTATATGATGTTTACATTTTTTAAATTTAAGATTTTCATTTTTTTTCTTTTTCTTATAGCTTTTATTCTTATTTTTAAATTAAGCGTATCTACATTTGAAAAGTTAAAAAAGTTTCCTTTTATGCTTAAAAAACAATGAGTATGTGTTAATTTAAAATAATATGTATTATAGTTGTAATTGAATTACTTTTATTTTATATTAAAAGATATATTTTCAAACAAAGTTTATTAAATAAACTAAATGATAAGACAAATAAACTAAATAATAAGACAAATTAATAAATAAATAAATAAATAAACTGTCTAAAAACAAAAATGAAAAAATATAATAATTTGAATATAGCACGTGGTATTAACATGATTAAACATTTAATGATACAAAATTAAACATTTACATATACAAAATTAAACATTTACATATACAAAAATGACATTTTATATGTGATCCGAAACAGAAAAAGTATAAGATGATGTCATTATAAAGGACTACATAAGGGTAGGCAAAAATTTGTAGGCCCAAGGAGGTTTCATATTAAAACCAATTAGTGATAATAGGAGTAACTCCTCTACTATGAGTTTCAACAGATTGATCCCCCAACCTCAAGGTTGGAAGGTGTAATCTTTCTCACTAATCAACTTTAGCTTGGTATAAAATATATTTAATTAAGACATAATTATTAATTTATTTATAGTATAATTAAGAAGAGGCCGACATACCAATTGGATGAACTGATGACGGTTGATTTTTTTATTAAGAGACGATGTGTGCATTATTGATAATATACGGAGTAATACCCAATTAGAAGGGGGGCATGTGGGATTGAAGTCTAGAAAACTTTGATTAAACCAAAATTATTAATATAGTGTGCAGTAGAGTAGAGGTGACATAATAATGATAATGGTCGGAGAAAAGGAATAAAAAGATTCAGACTAAATCTCCGATATTTGGCAACTTGCATGTTATATGCTTCTAATTCTATGTCGAAAGTCGGTGTCTAGGAAAGCAATGTATATAAACTACTATTTCAATTTGCCTCTTCAATAGTGCGTGTGTAAAAGTCCAAACTACTAGAGTTATTCATATATTAATATATTATAACTATAAGTCATATTTTCTTAGATCTAGATTCAATCCTCACAAGTCACGACATTGGTTATAATTTTTTAAGGAAATAATTGCATGTACATAGGATCAAATTTCTTTGCTCGATTTTAGAAGCATACGTACATATATGTGTACAACAATAATACGTGTGAAAAATACATACTCATTCAATTTCTTTATTTTGGTAAATGGTTTTAGATGAGAACTTACACTCCGTATCTTTGTAGTGTGGATAGTTGACTCCGGTATAAATACTTATTTTAATAGAAAAATAGATATTATGAGTATATTGCTATGTTTTAGTTACAACGTTAAGTATTTCATGCTTGATAAAGGAATGTGTGTGAATAATGAATAAGTTCCGACATTGTGATTAAAATAAAAGATTCTGAACAAAGAAAGTACAAGAGATAATCGGTGGAACTACCAAACATCCCAAATTACTAGCAGTATTCCCTATTTGGAGTGTCCTAATACACTTATCCTGCGGAATACTAGTATTTTGTTTTAAAAAATATTTTTTCCTTTCTACAAAATAGGATAGATTATAATGGGATCGAGGAAATATTAAGTTTCATAAAGGACAAAATTGATGAGACCAAAATATTCATTGTGTCTTCATTCTAGAAGTACTGATGAGGTAAAAACATATCCTCTTGTAGTATAAAACATTTCCTCCACATCTTACTTTACTTACAACTTACCCCTAACTTAATTGATGTGAGGAATTTAATTTAATCTAATTCAAAGTACAGTAACACCTAATTTATCCACATCAACTATATATATATATTTTTTTAATTTTAGCTTAATCAGCAATTTTGTACATAATCAAAACTAACTAGATGCTTAATAAATTCTACCAGCACTGATCAGTCTCCCAAGTGCGGCGAGTATAACCGGAAAAACCCGAAGTCGATGTCGTTCCGCCACCGTATCTGGTACCGGACGACATCGAACAATAAGTAGGGGAGTAACTCAAACGACGGCCTTGAAGCCACATCATCCGATCATAATCAGCCCTCTTTTTAGGATCCGACAATGTAGCATAAGCCTCATGAACCTTAATAAACTCATCAGCAGATGACGTGGCATTATTAGATGTGACAAGAGCAACATCAGGGTGAAGAACTCTAGCCAATTTCCTATACGCAGCCTTGATCTCCTTACCAGAGGCACCCGCCGGAATCCCCAAAACCTCGTAAAACGACGAGTTTTGTAGGGAAGTATTAGAAGCAACCCCTACAGAATAATTGGTGGTGGTGTAGGCGGCGGAGATAGTGGGGAGAGGCCGTCGGAATGAGACATGAGACGTGGATGTGGCGGCGCGGCGAGGATGATTATTGGTGGTGGAGGATAGGGAAGTAAATGGGTTAGATGTAAATGAAGATGATATAGTAGATGCCATATATTTTGGTGTACAAATGTAGAGCTTGATTTAGATTGTGTGAAATATGGAAATTTATGAGTGGTATAAGAAGAGTGCTGAAAGTTAGGAGAATTGTGGGGTTAATATAGGAATTGAGTTGAGAATGCATTAAATTTATGATTGGAGGAAAAGTGGGACCCGTGTCGAAAAAGAAGAGGTTAATGTTGGGCTTATCCATTGGCGGAGGTGGAGAGACCGTATGCTGACTCAGGGAAGTGTCGGTATCTATGGATTTTAAAATTGGTGCCACTGATTTTCTGCAGTTGGATTATTAAATCGGCGCGTTCTTCTAGAAACATTTTATTTCTCAATTTGACAATTATTCATGGGTTTTCTTTTTGTTTTTGCCCTCTTGTGATGTACTGTATGGGCTCGGGTTTAGTTAAAGGAAATTTTGAGTAGATTATTCGAAACGGGTCTGATTATTTTTCTTTTTTTGTCGGACGGAATGGGTCTGATTTTTTTTTTTTTTTTTTTTTTGAACACAAATGGGTCTGATTTTATTATACTAAGGTCATTGAATTTTTTTTTTGAGTTGGGTTGGGATTCTTTGGGCGGGAATGGATGTGCGTTATATTCGTATCAATTAAGTTATTACTCATATGATGAAAGAATTTATACATTTCTTTTAAGTGGAACAATTTAAAATTGGGTTAAAATTCGACCATGTAATTTTGTTTAGATTTCGTATATTGATTGGATGATCAAATACATATTTGCTTTTCCAAATCTACCATTAAGATCATATAACCTTTTTTTTTTTCTTTTTTTTTTTTTTTGAAATGCTATATTTTGTGTTTCAACTTCTCGTATCATCAATTTTAAGTTTGGGTCTCATAGTCAGGATGGAAGGAATAGTAACCGGTTGAAGGACTTCATTGCAACCCTATGGAGTCTATGGGTTACTAGGAATCAGAGAATTTTTAAAGGCACCTAAGATTATATAAGAGACTTGTGTAATAATTTAAAGGGGCCTTTAGTTATCTTCAAGAATACACCAAACCGAACTTGAGAAAGTTGGGAACCTTGAGGATATATGATGAGTATACAGACACACCACCGGGTTTTACTCAAGCAATGATAGGAAGGGATAAAGTTGTCCTAGGGGACAATACAATTAGGCAAGAGTATACCGTTAGAATTGATGGTTCGTGGGAGAAAGGCACGAACAAGTACGGTGTTGGTCGGACAGTAGATTATGGTTCAGGAAGTGAGCATGATGCGGTGGGAAAACTGTGGTTTAGCTACTAATGCCCTTCAAGCTGAGGTAGAGGCGTGCAAAAAAGCTTTACAGTGGAGTCGGGAGAGGAATTTTAGGAAAGTTATGGTATACTCGGATTCAAAGTGTGATGATCTCCATGCTTCGAAGTACAGTGAATGACAACATTGTCACTCACTGGTCCATGAGGGAGATTAAAAGCCCCGGTTTGGGATTTCAGTTCTGCAATATCCTAAAAGTCGATAGGGAACAGGTAGCACGTGCACATTTTATAGCTAACTAGTGTCGGTTAAGTTTAGTTGATATCTAGTGTCTTGTGTTGTGTCGTTGTAAAAAAAAAAAGAATAAAATTTGGGTTTCATTACATTTTAAAAATAGTCCAAATAATAAACACTCCTAATTATACAACAAAACATAATTATTATTTTATTATATATTTGATTTTGAGTTGTCCAATCTAGATTTCACACCCAAAAGTGTCACACAACTCCACTTGTAGAAGAATAAGATCTGATCTAGTTATAGTTTTGTAACCCTATTTTTTAGTATAAGAAAACATTTTCAACTAACAGATAGAACTTCCAACTAAATTCTGTGGTGGCATATATCTCAAAAGTTTCAACCCAAATTTTTACATTACTCAACAGCTAAGTTATACAAGTATGAAATACATCATTGAACATGTCATGAAAAGGAACCAAAGATATGGTTAGCTAAGTTCTAAAATGTCTTAGTTCTTAAATTTCTAGTTAATGAATATATATCATTAATATTTTCACTTCAAGAATACGGTGTTCTACGCCTCTAAATCTCTAATAATATTAGTCAGTGACATGAGCTGATCTTATGCATAGTACTCGTACTACGTAGAAATTGGTTTGGGAAGTGGATATTTCTATTGGATATGGATAAGTCCGAATAGTGTGGGCCCGACTTTAATAGTTTATGGGTCATGGCGTCACATGGGCCTCATGTGTCACGCCAATTAAATTTCGAAGGATAAATGATAGTGACTAGATGATTAAATTGGGCCTTGTAAATTAGAAAGTGATGGTAATGGTAATTTGATGAGGACAACTACTACTCCATACAATTAGTCAATTACTACAAATATTATTATTCTTGGCAAAGATAGAATTTACCGTCCATCTTAGTGTATTAATTACTATTAGAAAAACTATCAATCAAACGGTTAGTGAAAATGACATTGTTTGAAGAATTTGTATGTAATTTGTTAATGCAACTAGAGGCCTAAAAGAGGTATTGACAATAATTCAACCCATAAATCCACGTCAATGTTGTGTGTCCAAGTTATCTCTTCATAAAAAAAGCACAAAAAAGAAAAAGATTTTAAGCATGAAAGATAAAATGAACTATCCCAAAATTTGAACTCCTTGAAAAGCCATTTTTCAAGCTAATTTTTTATTGTTAGGAACAGTGTACAGACGGATACGCCTCTCTATTTTACCATTGATTTTTCTTTTGTATAATGATAATACAATTTTAGTCATTAAAATATTATTTTACTCATTTGCCTTATTGTCAGTGTTTAACCTTAATTACTCCCCCTTTGCTTTTTCTTTTTTCTTCCATTTTCATTTTAGAACACTACAAGAAAACTAGTTTTCAGCGATGACTGACAACAATCGTTGCTAAAAACAGATTCTTGTTGTAAATAACAAAGCAAGGTCCTTACGAGCACAGCCCATACGGGAGTCACAAACCCCCCCACTCTCACCTTTGGGGCACTTGTCTTCACCATCTTATCTTGGCACATCAAGATTTTTAAGTGTAGGAAATATTTATCTTTCTTAATCATATTATATTATTAATTTCTATAATCATTAAATTTTCATAATTTCCTGATAAAAGTGGTTCATAATATTTAATAATTTATTTATATTATGATTTTATGGTAATTAAAGTTATAAAGATATTTCACGTATGATTGATCAAGTACACATGATCTTTTTATATGCATGGTTATTACTAAACTCAATTTATATTTAACCTAACAATAATTAATACTTCCTCCATTATATTAATAAATTTTTTTTATGGTAAATTCAATTCATTAATAAAAAGCTTAGATAGTGCATGGTATTACCACTACAAGAAAACACGATTTTTGTGACTGTCAAAATCAGTCACTAAAACATGAAAATCGGTCATTAAAGACGGAATAATGATCCCTTAACGACGGCATTCCGTCACTAAATGGCGGTTAACTAAACACCTGGTCGCTAAATTAAATTTAAGTGACGTAAATTTTTTATTCAATGCTGTCTGACCAAGAGACATTCACTAATTAGTGATGGATTAGCGTCACTAATTAGTGACAGGTATGCCAATAGTCACTAATTAGTGACTGCTTCATAATCAGTCACTAAATAGTGACGGCTAATCAGTCACTGAATAGAGACCGGTTATGAAACGGTTACAAATTAGTGACCGAATAGCCGTCACTATTAGGGAGTGGGACTGTTTGTCCATTGGCCGCTAATCACTATTTAGTGGTTGTTAGTTTGTTTTTTTAGACATTAGGTGATTATTTGTAAATTGTATATACAATAAAATATGACTGTATACGAAGTAATAATAATTCAAAACTAAATAATTTATATATTTAAATAAATTATATGTATATCTCAAATTACAAAATTCAATAGATTACAAAAATTATAACACAATAACTACATATTTCCTCCGTCCCAGAATACTTGACACAATTTTCATTTTTATTCGTACCAAAATACTTGACACGTTACTAAATATGAAATGGGACCACTAATAAAAATAAAAAATAAAAAAATCCTATACTCTCTTTTGGGACCACAACCCCAAAACCCAATTAAACCCACATTTTCTCTCTCCTCACTATCCCCACCTCCCACGTGTTGTTTTCTTATACTCCCTCCGCCCGCAATTATCTGCAACATTTACCTAAAATGAGTGCTCTATATTATTTGCAACAAATATTTTTCTTTCCTTTTTGGGCAATATTTAACTATTAATTACCCACTATTACCCACTTTTTTGGTTAGTGGTCCCCTCCACCACCTATTACCCACTACCTAAAACCCACTACAAATATTTGTGTTCACATTACAAATACTAAATATACCCTTATTTTTCAACACTTAAATGTTTAGTTTATATATATCATCATATGGGTAATTTTGTATTTTTATCATTCTCTCTCATTAATTAAACCCACAAAAACTCAATTAACACTCCCCTAAAAGTTTTTCCTAGGAATCCGAAATATTGTCCTTTGTTGCAGATAACCTCGGGCGGAGGGAGTATTATAATTTGTAAAAATGCAAAAGAGAATCCTTTAAACGTAGTACAATAAACAAATATTTTAAATGGATCCATTTATAATTTTCTTAAAATACGTGTCCACTCCAACGTCCTAAGTATTCTTGGACGGAGGGAGTACAACCAAAATTCAAAGAATGATAAAATATGCGAAGTATCTTGACAAGATATGAATCAATTTCATTAGATTGAGATTTAATATTATAATATACGGAATATGACTTAAAAAAATTATAAATACGAATTTGGATTGAAAAAAAAAACATTTGAATTTGGATTAGATAAATACAAGATAATTGAGAGATTAAAAAACCCTAAAAATTTTCTCTCTTATCTCTCTTCAAACCTAGCCACCATAGTTAAACTTAGGGGCTGTCATCGATTTTTATCGTTGGTAAGCCCCAAATTCTTCTTTAATTTAATGTTCTTAGTCAATAAAGATCACCAGCAGTATGGTGATTATAGTCAGTCCCTCCATGTAGGGTTTAGTCAGTTCCCTAATGGTGGGATGTTTAGTATTGTTTGTTTGTATGTTTTTCGTGTGTGCA